GTTATTCTAATTGGTATAACATAAACAAAAAGTAGTTTAATAAAATTTTGAATGTAAGACACTAAAACCTTGTGTCATGTACAGTAAAGGATACCCATGCCGATAGGTTTAAGGTTCTGTTGGTGGACAACATCCTTTACCAGAGCAATTTCACCAGCAGGTGAGTCCACAGGGCAGTAGTGAGCCTCTCCATACTGGAAAGTACACTGTCAAATTGTCGTGACTCACTTTGTCATGATATTCATTACTGAGCTGCATCTAAACTGAGGTTCAAGATGTTGGAAAACAAATCAATTCACTCACACATCCTGGATTTTATGATGCAATCACAATGGTATTCATGAATGGGTATGACTGTCTTGCTCTTCCAATAGTTTAAGTGCTGCTATGTATATTCTGCCAATGTGTCCATTAGGATGTTGTCCTGAAAGAAAGAAACAAAGCATTTGCTTTGCATGTGAAATTGGGTCACTTTTCTATGAACTGTTCATACCTTGCCAAGTAGCAAGTTGGGCATGGCTAACCATTTTGAATAATGATTCAACATGTGCAGATGAGCAAACACCAGGTAGTAGATATGGCTTCAACATCTCCAGGAAATTAGAGGAACCCAAGATGGATCTAGCAAATAACATGAGGAGTACTACGTATATCTTGTACTAAAAAGTATGGTGGCCAGTTCACCTCTCTCAGCACTGGGTGAGGCTTGGTTTGTGCCTGTCAAAGTTCAGTAGTGAGAAATCTAGTTTCTACAAGATGCAGGGGTGGCTAGAATACTGGTAGATTTCACAATATATCAGGCATTCTGAGCAAAACCACCAACTGGCCAGTCAATATGAATTGTCAAAATGGGGATAAACTAGATATGAATGGAAAGGCTAGGCTCAGAATATGTCTACAGAAAGAAGTGAGTTGTTGCTGGCTGTGATTATTGCATTGGTATCCTTAGAATGGATGTACTGCAAAGCATATTGGTCACTTTTACCTATGCAACTGGTGAATTTATGTTATTTAGTAGAGTTATCTGATGTTGGCCAGATCAACTCTAGGAATGGTGGACTGCACAAGCATATGTGGGAAAATAAATCATAGAACCTTTATTTTACCTAACTGGTGTTCTGTGGTTTATTATGGACAACTTCTAGTGTATGGCTATAGAGCCCACACATGAAATAGGCTGTTTCCCATCCAGAAGGCTAGTGTTAGCTGTGGCAGTTAACTGTCTGAGGGTGATGAAGTCACAGTTTTATTCTGCAATTATGATGATTGAGTATTCAGATGCATGTTGGTCATTGGCACTGTAAGCAAAGAGAAAGTAATTGATACAAGTGGTAATACTAGATTTTGTCCATCACGCCACATCTGAAAGTAAATACATGGATACGACCATCTCCGAGATTTCTAGTTGAGGATTCTGCAAAACAATCTAACTGGATGCAGCAGCTGTAGCTTGTTGGCAGAATATGGTAATATATATATTGGAGCTGAATGGGATGAACAACAATCACACAACATCACACAAATACAGGTGATGCATGTCTGACTGAACAACTGTTGTGCATGATTCCTTGGAGTACTATGGATGTAAGCAGCGATGAAATATAGCAGAAATTAAAGAACAGAATCATACTGCATTCAGAGAGTGCTTGGTCATCTCCAGTAGTAACTATCAAGAAGGAAGGTTCTGTAAAGATTATTGATGGGTCAATTTGGTATCTTTTCCATTTATATGAATGTCTGAATGCACTGTAAGAGCCCAACTGTTCAATATGCTATTTGTGGCATCTGTATACTAGCAAGTCAAACTGAATAATAAGAACAAACTTAAAGTTGCTTTCAAAGGTGAGGTGGCTTTTACAAGTTTCACATCATGACATTTAGCCTCTGTAATGTGAGCCTAATGGAATTTACATTGAAGGGGCTGGAAGTGCCTGATCTATGTTGATAACCTATAATATTCTCTTTAGCTTATCTCAGTCTTACTCTTCTACCTATGTTTCTACCAAACCCAAAATAACAAATTCTTCTAAAAACTTCTTCCAAAACTCTATATTCTTATTTGTGCTACATTCCACATCCCTATTATCCATTTATTCTCATTTTCCTTTTTATGTTTCCTTCTATTCCCCTTCCTTATCAACATCCTCATCCTGCCTTTTTTTTCTAGCCTTCTGCCCACCTCTTTAAAAATCTTCTCTTGACTCTTTTATTCTAGACTTAGAGCATATATATTCTAAAACTTTCAATTTTGATCTTTTTAATTTTCTGATAAACCTATTGCCACATTTTTTTTACTTCTTCCTTCCATTGTTTTGCCCTTTTCTCAATTCTCCAGTATAACTATTTATTTCATAACATATAATTTCTGCTATTGTACTCCTGTTCCAAGCTTTTAGTTTATGTTCATCCTCCATAAAGTTTTCTTTAATTAATCTACACTACTGTAGCTTTCTACACGCAACTTGTTCCCCCTTTAATTATTTATGTTACTTCTAATTATTTACTGTAATTATCATTGTTGAATTTTAGCAGTTATTACATAATTGATTTTTAACTTTTCCTCTTTGCAATCAACTTTTTATCTTAATACTACTATTTCTATGGTAGATATTTCCATTTCCATTCAGGTAGGAGGGTGTTGCATCTAAAACAAAGACTATGTTAGCTCTGGAGGTGGGAAAGTGTTGCATCTAAAACAACGACTATATTAGCTCTGGAGGTAGGAAAGTGTTGCATCTAAAACAAAGACTATGTTAGCTCTGGAGGTAGGAAAGTGTTGCATCTAAAACAAAGACTATGTTAGCTCTGGAGGTAGGAAAGTGTTGCATCTAAAACAAAGACTATGTTAGCTCTGGAGGTAG